TTGACTGGAGATGATGACAGTACGTGGGATTCAGTGGTACATGACACTTGTCGACAAGCGGCGAGATGCGAAATTATTGGTTTGACAATGAAGACTCAATATTTTTCCTGGACAATCGTCGACAAGTTTGGCTACTGTTATGAGCTGGAAAAGGTATCTATACATTAGAAAAAATTTATCGTTTCGCCCTCGTACAAGTGCTGAGGAGCTGTCGAGTGATCCTGCAGCAAGTATACGTCCTCTGATAACAATTTTGAAAATAAGATGCTGCCGTCACGTTATTCCGGGGCGAGATGTGGCTGTGGACGAAGCGAGTATTGCGAGTAAATCAAAGTACGCCAGGCACATCATCGTCTATAATCCACGCAAGCCGACTGGAAAATATCACTTCAAATTGTATGTCTGCTGCTGTTCGACGACATGGATTGTCCTTGATTTCAAACTTCACTGCTCCAGTGACCTGAAAAATCGCCTAGCAAATGTAATTTCTCCTGCGGAAATAGATCGTCTTGCGGCGTTGACAGAAAAGTCTTCAGAGATTCGGAAACATGTCATTGAAGTCACAAATTCGCTAAGAGGTTCGAGGCGGGTGGTAAACACTGATAACTTCTACACATCGTGTTTATTGCTGGAAAGCCTGAGAACGGTTGGTCTTTACGGGCGAGGCACCGTCCGTTCTTCCAGTAAACACTTCCCGCGTTATACGATGGTTGGGTCGACCGATACTAAGAGAGGCACCATGAAGCAAGGGGTGTGCGTGGAAAAACACATCGTGGCGGCTAGTTGAGTGGATGGATCGGTAGTCAATGTCATTTCAAATGCTGATGACTCGGGTACCACAACTGTATATCGACGGATTCGACAACAGCGGGAGCCCTTTAAAGCCCCAAAATGCGTCAGTGAATACAACACCGCGATGCAAGGAGTAGATCGTCACGACCAACTACGGGGTAGATTTTCTGTGGCCAATGGTCACACGTTTAAGAAGTGGTATAAAAAGCTGGCTATGGCGATGATTGACATCGCGCGATGTAATGCTTACATATGCCATCAAATGGCTCGCCGTAGCAATCACTCGGGATTCAGTGATGGCGAAGATAGTCCGGAATCGAGTCGTCGAGACGAGCACCGTGCATTTGTCGCAAGCCTTGTTCGCGAAATGCTCGATGGAACGTGGAAAGAGTCTCTTAGTGACGATGATGGGATGCTATTTGCCAATAGCAACGATGGACCTACTTCTTCTCTTTGTCATGCTGCTAACACTGCTGTTTCGAGTGGTACCAATGACGTATGCGTGGCACGGGAGTCATGGATAGCACTAAAAGATCGAAGTCGAGCGATGCGTGAGTGTACTGTGTGTCGCTTTGAATGCAGAAATCCAACTCAAAAGACAGACTACTGCGAAAAGCACAAAGTTGCTTTGTGCAAACGCACCTACCCAATCGATAAATCCAAGCCACATCTTTGTCAAGAAGCGTCATGGTCATGCTGGCAGAAGTACCATGGATATTATCTGCCTAATCTGGTCTACAATCTCGAAGGTCATCTCATGCGAAGCTCTTCGATATACAAAATTCAGGCACCTTTCCTCCGATCAAATGCAAGCAAGAGGACTACGCGTTAGGCTCACGTGGCTCACGTGACCGCTGGTCACTAGTTCCGGTGTCGCATCGGTACAGCAATTTGATTATATGAAAAAAAATGAGAAGTGGATTTATAGATACTTGGTTGGTGCAGATTTTTGTAAGCAAAACTACCCACACTACACTGCAAGCTTGAGGACAAACCACGCTTCGGTAGCTCTCAACGTGATAATATTATTGCGTCAAATGTCCATATGGCCGGTTGCGAGTCATCGTGAACTGCATTTTCTCCCAGACC